TCTTTAAGAGGAAGTGCAGACTGAGAACAGGCTGAACCCTACTGACTGATCCACAGTACCCACATCTTGACTAGATTTAATTTTAACTTGCTCATTATTAAACTAAGGCAATGTTCAAGGGCACCAATTGGTTTCTTGGAGTTGGATGGTAAAAGGCAGTATAGTTGGGTGTCATCACATAATGTGGCTCTGCAAATGATATCTCCTAGCAGTTTCATGTCCATGTTGAACAGAGTGGGAATAAGATGGAAACCCATAGGATAGAATAAGCCATAAGTCTAGGGATCAACCAGTAAATCCCTTAGTATTGCTAAATCAAAGCAAAACAGTGCCTCCAAGGCTCAACCCAGGATACTACGGTTGATGACATTTATTTATTTTTTGAACTCCATCATGATTCATGGCAAGGTACAATACTGAAACAATACAAAAGAATAACAAGCAAGAAAAATAATCACAATCTTTGGCAAACTATCACACGTGGCCCACCACCCATTCTAGCCCAGGTCCTGGGGGGATTTAAGGGCTGAATTAAAAAATGTCAGGGTGGGGGGCCATATGACTTTTGGTGCAGATGTTGTTCTATGACTGATAGATATGCTGTTACATTCTGCACACTTTCAAGTGGTTTTCAAGGGCAACCCCTGTAAAGCAGAATGCAATAATCAACAAGTAAGGAGACCAAAGGATGGAGGGAATGAGCACATCATGGTTCTTTAGGCAGCTCAGTAGCCTTTGATATCATTGACCATGGTATTTTTCTGGACTACCTGCAAGGGTCGGGGATTGATGGTGCTGGTGTAACTGTGAATGTCTCATCCTGCTTTACTTCCTCATACTGACATTGCACGCATAGCAGAAAGAGTGCATATTTAAACTTTACATTTTAACATATTGCATTAAGATGACAACCTGATGTAGTGATATTAAATGGATTGATTTTTCACATATAAGTACTGCTTTTATAATCTTCTCTTTTAAGGAATTCAACTTATTATAAATTTGTGTGGCAAATTAAAATGAACAATAACTTGGTGTAGGTTACCTGCTGGGTTTAAAATAACAATTGGAACCTTGGTTCCAAGACTTTAGCTATTCCCTTACAATGGCATGCATATTAGAAACTTGTGTCTTACATGTAAATATGCTTTATGACTTTTCTTGCAGGACACTTTGATTTATATATCTTACTATGCCATGAATAAACCACAATTTGATGAATTTAAACATTTTGCTAAGGCAAAGCCAGGCAAGTTATGTTATGGCTTTGTGTGGTTATGAACCCAGGCTTTGTTAGCCTGATGAATATTTACTCATCTTTGGAAATCTTCCAGTTTCTATTCACAATATTAATATGTCTTTACAAATGTAGATGTTCTTGAGTTAGTACCGTTTAATTGCTTTTGGTGAGGATCTGAGAAAGTTTATTCACTGGTTTAGAATAAAATATACTAAGTATACATTACAAACAAAAAACCTGTTTTAAGCATATAATATTTTAATAATTCTTTGATACTCTTCTGTTTGCAGTTGGATACCATGTCTTAATTGTGAAATATACCAATTGCTTTTTTAAATAGCAAATAGATCCTTACCCTTTTGTTTTGAACTTATTTAAAATAATGCTAATATTTGGTTTTGATATTTTGACTGATCTTAGGTAATGATCAGCAATTTGAAGAGCCTACTTTCTCAATTCATACATATTTAATTTAAGGATGAGATTATTTAATTATTTAACTTAGCACCTTTTATTAAAAATCATACGTTTTATGAGACTATATGTACTTTTGTAAATTTGCAGAAGTGCTGACCTGATTGTGTCTATTCCCAAAGTTTTGATTTAATTAGAAAATGAGGAAAGAGAATAAATTACAAACATTCTAATAATTGGCTCACTCCGTTTCAGTTCTTTATAGGAATATGTACATAATCTCCCTCTGTTCATTACTGTTGGGACAAACTAGGGTATAGTGATAAAGTGGGAAGTGTGGCTTGAAAAAAACAACATAGGTGCATCACAGATGTTGAGTGGTCTCCTGACATACAGTGTGAAGAATATTTGGTTGCATGCACCCCTTGCTCTCTTCTGTTTTCTGTGCCGTGTGATGTCTTTCCAAAGTAAAGAAAAAGAAGCCATATTAAGACTCCGTGTGCTACAGCTGATAGATGTATAAGATAATGCCACTGCCCAGAAAATAAACGTAATATTTTTAAGTAAAATGGAAGCTATTTGGGTAAAATTGGCTGTTCGGCAGTTATAACCTGGTGATACTATATAAAAATCTTTTAAATAAAGAAATGAAAGAAATATTGTTCTAGAAGCCCAAGGAGAACAATTCATATTATTTAAATAAGTAGATGAAACATCAATTTAGTTAATTCTGAAAATGGCTGCTGGCTTTTAATACAAATACATTGAGGTAAAAATGTATGTGTATCCTGGTGTGTAATAAGTTATATGTATACATACTAGGTAAGTAGCAAGAATACAATCTTTTATTTTAAAAGCCTACTAACCACTGGAAGGCTGATAATTGTGTTATAATTTCATGTTAGAAAGACAGAACCCACTGAAAACAGCACTATATATTTACCCAAATATGGCAGTCCTAGTACAGTGGTACCTCGGGATATGAACTTAATGCGTTCCGTGACTCTGGGCGTATCCCAAGTTGGTTGTAACCCGACGCAAATTTCCCCATAGGGTTCAGTGTAAATCCGGTTAATCCGTTCTGCCCTCCGAATTTGGTCGCACCCTGAAGCAAATTTTCCCATAAGGTTAAATGTAATTACCTTTAATCCGTTCTGGCGTCCGTGGGCCACGCATCAGGGGCGGGAAAACGGCCGCAGACCACGTGTCAGGGGCGGAAAAATGGCCGCAGACCATGTGTCAGGGCGGAAAAATGACTGTACCCCGAGGCAGAGTTCGCACATCGAGGTACATTTTTGCGGCCGGAGCTGGTCGTAACCCGAAAAGTTCGTTAGTAGAGGTGTTCGCATCCCGAGGTACCACTGTAGTTCCCTTGTTCTTGTCCATATAATTTAGTGTAAGATAGGGCAGAAATTTCAGTGAGAAGAAAGTTTTTAGAATTTTTAATCACATAAAATATTTTCTTTTAAAAAAAAATCCAAAGAAGGATAATATTTAGCATGTTATGAGTTCAGTACTACATGTTTATGCTTAGGGCAGGTTGAATTTATGAAATACCTAAATTTATAGATATAAATATACCTAACCTAAATTTATAGGTATATAGTTATACTTTTGAAATCACTAAACCTATAAAATCTTGTAGATTGATTTAGTAATGATTAAGGATGTTTAAATCACTTAGCTATAGAACAGTAATATTTGTTTATTTTGTTTGTTTGTTTGTTTGTTTGCCACCCATCTCCCCCAGAGGGTGACTCTGGACGGCTGAGTATACTTTATTATCACAAATAATGTGATAGTAAAGTATATTAAGTGAAATATTTTTATCCTGAATGAATTTTTGAGTTTTCTACAGGTAGTTTTTAAAAGAGTCTCATGACTATTCATTATATAATTAAGGTATATTCTATTGTGCATCAAGTTACAAGTGGGATATGTGAATATACTCTATGTCTGTCAAGTTGATTTGCAGTTGACTTTCCTGGCAAGTATTTAGCTCTGAAATTCGTGTTGTCTGTTTATATTATAAAACACACATAGCATACTAGGTGTTATATAGATGGGAAAATAATACAGATTTGCACAGATGCAGCCTAAGTGGCGAAGTGCCAAAGGAAACAAATAAGTGAGGGAACAAGGAACAACAACAAATCATTTGACAGATTGTTCTCAGTTACTTATATGTTTAATAACAAGGTACAGTAGAAGGGAGACAGTTCGGGAATGGGCTGTGCTGTCTCCCTCTACTGCAGTCTGGTGGCATCTTTTCTGTTTTCCTAGAGATGTACTTAGTAAAACTTCTTCACACATCCTTCTTTTATTTGGTTCCTCTTAGTCTCTTTCTCTTTCTTAGATTTGTTACCCACTACAATCAAATTATTATTTGAATATTATATTCTAGTTACAAAAGAAGCAATAGAAGTAACTCTTTTATGATTTGAAAATATTTCCTTTTTTGAAAACTACAGATCAGATATAGATTCAGTGGCTTAGGGAGAGCAGTGGCAAATTATTTAGATGTTCTGAGCCAGTCCCCCAAAGTAGACATTTTTATTGTAGCTTTAATTGACTTCATATATGTTGGATATTAGATCCAAATTTTAGCCCCTGTCCAAACAACAATATTATAAAAAATCTCTCAAATAAAATCTGTGTTTGGAGATAATTTCGGAAAATGTGTTAGTAAGCAACGTCATCTGAAATAATTATTTCTCCCCTTTCCCTTTTTTCCCCATTCATTTTCTGTATTTGCTTCCTAAATTTCATTCAAAAATAAATGTATCATTTCTGCTGAATTGTAATTTGGTCTGCAATGTACATATTTTTAAGGTGGCATTTTAACATAGCTATTCCTTTAGCTCAAAATAATACATACATAGATACAAGGAACTGGACAGATCTGCTTTGCTATATGAAAGAGATTTGTCCAATGATGTTCTATATTACGCATACGTTAATATTTTTTTTGAATTCCATATTTTTCCAGACTTGACAGGTATAAGTTGCAGCAAGCTATAGGCACGTCTGCTATGACAATAAATACTTATGCTCTAGCTTTCATTGTGTTCTTGCTTGCTTGAAGAGGGTGTGCCATGTATGATTTTCAGTTATGTATATCTATTTTGCCATAATGTGCATTTCAAATATAGTGTGAAATTACATGAATAATAAGTGATCCTAAAAACCACAGATTCAAACTCAGGTTGAATTGCCAGTAGCAGTTCCCCTTTCTTTTTGAAAAAAGTTTGTCAAGTTAAGAGTGATGAAATTTAACAATTATAGAATAAAAGTTGTTATGAAGGAAATAGTGATTTAATTGATGTTACATTCTTTTTTTTCTTAGATATATGATGTTAATTGATGGCAAGAATGAAGTTTATATGATTGACAGAGATAACTCTGTGTTTCATGTGTCTAATTTGGAGTTTCCATTTCGTAAAGATCCACGTGTGCATTTAGAAAATACTCTTTTGGATGGGGTAAGAGGTTTTCTCTGTACAATCATGCTTTCCTTAAATTCAATATTGGATTTTGCAGTGATTACTGTAATGGTAAAACTCAAATTCTACACTAGTAGGGCACAGCATCCAATTCCTAGGGATCACAAAATAGTCATTATAAATTGCTGTTAACCAGATATGTGTCCTTGGGATTGTTTTCTTATATCCACACTAGGATAGTATTTTCGCTTCATTGCTTCTACTCCAAGTTCCAGAGTTGGAACTTGTCAGAGAACCATTAAAAGTGAGTAATTTCGACAGCTTCTTGTTTTTGTTGGCATCATCATTCCACAGCTGAACAAATCTGACTTTTATTTTGACCTAAGATTGTAGTAATCTTTGGTGAAATAGCAAGTAAATGCATCAATAAACATTTTGAAGGGAATATAATCCATTAGCCTTAAAATGACACTGAACTCTTAACTGTTTGTTATTTTGGATGCTTGAGAAGTGCAGAAGTGGAGATAAGGCACAAGGAAGAGGAGTCACCAATGTGATGATATACCAAGTCATTCTTAGTGAACTTGTTTATCGCTAAGCAAATGCAGATTACTTATGTGCACTAGGAATTTTCTCTAATTTCACTAAACTGTGACAAGCAAATAGGCCAAGCATGAAGGAGTGAATATAAACATAAATATCCATATTTTGATATAAGACCTCCATCTTTCAGTTGTTTCACAAGCACAGAGCTCGTGGCCTTAAGTTTGGGGAAATTTGTCCTTTATTTAAAACTGGGCTTTCCCGTATCCATTCAGGTTAAGACATACTTAGTGTTCTTTATGATGCCTTTATCTCATCCTTGGACTTGTTAATGCCACAAAACAAGTTTTCTTAATGCTGCAAGTTGTGATAGATCATTATTAACGAACCATGCCTCTGCCACATTACTCACCAGTGAAAAAGTTGAAATTGGTCCTGGGCAAGAGATCCTGCTATATTTTTATTCCACTATGGAACATTTATTTTGCAAAAATGCCCTGCTGTTAGACCAATATGTATCTACAGATAATTTCTTGTGCTGATTTAACTCTTGAGTATTTTAGGCATGTTTGTTTATTTATTTGACCTACAGTATATTCCACCTTTCCTCCAGGAGCTCAAGGCAGGGCATTTTTCTTCATTTTGTCCCTACAATAACAGTGTGGTCAGATCGATTGTGGAGAGAGAGAGAGAGAGAGAGAGAGACCCAAAGTCATCAAACAGACTTGGACTTGGTCCAACACCTTGACCATATACCACATGCTCTCTTTAATTAAATGAGCCATGATATATTTTTTAAAATCTTTAATCACCTTCACTTTATATGATTTCAGTTGGGTTTTTTTTAAACTGACAAGCAGTAATGAGATCTCTTACCCAATCTATCTCTTTACTGCTATAGCTTTCAATCCAATGATGCTCAATATCTCTTCTTTCAGATTTCCTGCCCTATCTCTTCCCAGGATCAATGACTTCAGTGCAGTGGGAGTTGTTTTTCTTTCAGAAGTGTTTTTTCAACCTAGAAGATAAAAAAGACCCCCCCCCTCCCAAATCAGACATGTAAAAATAAATTAGAGGCTATAAAAGCTGCTGTAGCACAGGTGTAAAAGTCTCAACAGGAATCTTAGGCTTGGGAGACTTTTGTTATTTAATATTGGCCTGAATAAAAATTGTTTTTACTTAGTACATTCAAAACCCTATTCAAATAAGGATTAGTTCTAAATGCACACTGATTAAAATACCAAGATGCTTATTAAAGATATCACTTCGCAACTAAAACTATTAGTTGTTCAGTATTCTTCATTGGCAGTTCAGAGCACCACTCAAATAACCCAAATGTACTACCCTGCCACAAAAAAAATAGTCATTTTTTTTTGTTTGCTTAGCAACACAATGGTGACAACAGAAGTCTTCATAGAGGCTCTTGTTCTCAGTTATTGCCCTTAAGCTTAGCAATGCTCCTAGTGCTGGGTTTTACTGATTTCATGCTAATGAGAGCTATAACAAAGAATATGCTATTCAGATGAATGTATAGCTGTAGCTCTGCCACAGAATGACAATATCTTGATATAATCTTTATAAGTTCCCAGTTTCAGTTATTTTCTGCTAGGGGTTATAACAGGGGTTAAATAATGGATCTGCTTTTCAAAAGGTAGACCTAAAATGTTGATAGTGTAAACTGTATCCTTGAAGATAAAAAGAAATAATATTCTAAGGAAGCTGCTACATTTAACTTCTATTTGTTGATTCCATTTTCTTCCCAGCTGTCTCTGTCACTTTCCTTCTTGATTTTGACAAAAGACAAAAATACACAAATCAACCATGTTGAAAACAGTGGCTAGTATAAAATAATGTTTTAACTAAAATCAATTGTTGAACTGTTGGCAAAGTTGTTGAATGAATATTAACATCCTGTTTTGCTTTTTTTTTTTTTTTAAGGAAATGATAATTGACAAGGTAAATGGTCAAGTTGTTCCTCGGTACTTGATATATGACATAATAAAATTCAGTGTAAGTATATTATATTTTTATTAACTCAATTGACTAAGGAACTTATAGCTTTTAGAAGGGAGGACTATTTTTTAATAAATATAGATAAACCAAAGAAGTGCTCCTGGGCAGCACACAAGAATGCATAAAATGAAATAATATATCACACCACTCAAATGACACAAAACACGTAATAGACTGCCATATTTAGTGGTAACATAGAATGCACTTTCAAATATGTTTACAGTGGTTTGAATGAGTGAGCTGTGCTGAGCTCTAAAGTTAGCCCAAGTTTTTCTGAAAGTTCTTGAAGAATTCCATTAGGACAAAATCCTGATTTTATAAAAAAAAAGTGGGGTGGGGTGGGGTGGGGTAGGAAACTGATGAGGAGGAGCTGCAGGTGTAACAGGAAATCATTTTTTACATAGACAGTGTTTAGGGAACTTGGGAAATACAGTTAGCTTTGCCTTATTGAATTGAGAGAGAACAGTAGATTTTCTGAATGAACTTCCAGGCATAGGTTTAGAATAGAAGGAAAGGGAAATCTTGGCTTACGCACTTAAACTGTGCCAGTGTATTGTTCTCTGTTCTGTGTGTTCCTTTATTTTGAGCCCATTGTTGTTTCTGCCTCCCATTGCTGTTTCCTGCATACTCAGTTTTTAATTCAGTAAATTATTATTTTTTATTGATAAGTCATTTGCTTCACTGCTAAAGCATGGTTTTTCCTATTGTTGCAAAAGATTCTACAAAAAGCTATGTAGAAGATATAAAGCTACTGATAAGATGTTGTAGAAGTTGGTGGACTGAAGATGCAAAAGTCTGTTTGATTCAGTAACAAGGAAGAAAGGTCTAGGATGGCAGGATAGACCTTATTAATAAGGAAAATATGCTATCAGTGGTTGAAATTAGTAATGTTTGAGTCAAAATATTTTAGATTACTTTGAATTCAGTGGAAATCTCTAGAGGGACTTTACTAGGCAGTCTTGTGGTTCCAATTGAAGGACAGCTTCAGCCAATATGTTATCAGCAGAAGCAGAAGCAAGACTTTGTGGGGGAAAGCTGTAAAGATTTGTTAAAGTCAACAAACTGTCTTTATGCTAAAGGTTTAATTGCAAAAATAGTTTAACTGTAATATTTGACTTGGCAAGAAGTGACATACAGTGGGGCAAAAAAGTATTTAGTCAGCCACCAATTGTGCAAGTTCTCCCACTTAAAAAGATGATGTCATTGCCAACAAAGGATATATAACAAAGTATTGAGATGAACTTTTGATATTGACCAAATACTTATTTTCCACCATGATTTGCAAATAAATTCTTTAAAAATCAGACAGCCCCAAAACATCACTGCTCTAGAGGAGATCTGCATGGAGGAATGGGCCAAAATACCAGCAACAGTGTGTGAAAACCTTGTGAAGACTTACAGAAAACGTTTGACCTCTGTCATTGCCAACAAAGGATATATAACAAAGTATTGAGATGAACTTTTGATATTGACCAAATACTTATTTTCCACCATGATTTGCAAATAAATTCTTTAAAAATCAGACAGCCCCAAAACATCACTGCTCTAGAGGAGATCTGCATGGAGGAATGGGCCAAAATACCAGCAACAGTGTGTGAAAACCTTGTGAAGACTTACAGAAAACGTTTGACCTCTGTCATTGCCAACAAAGGATATATAACAAAGTATTGAGATGAACTTTTGATATTGACCAAATACTTATTTTCCACCATGATTTGCAAATAAATTCTTTAAAAATCAGACAGCCCCAAAACATCACTGCTCTAGAGGAGATCTGCATGGAGGAATGGGCCAAAATACCAGCAACAGTGTGTGAAAACCTTGTGAAGACTTACAGAAAACGTTTGACCTCTGTCATTGCCAACAAAGGATATATAACAAAGTATTGAGATGAACTTTTGATATTGACCAAATACTTATTTTCCACCATGATTTGCAAATAAATTCTTTAAAAATCAGACAGCCCCAAAACATCACTGCTTTTTGATATTGACCAAATACTTATTTTCCACCATGATTTGCAAATAAATTCTTTAAAAATCAGATGAAAATTACAGGCCTCTCTCATCTTTTCAAGTGGGAGAACTTGCACAATTGGTGGCTGACTAAATAGTTTTTTGCCCCACTGTAGTTAGGCAGAGACCCAGTTTGGTCTAGTGACTTAAGGCACCAAGTTAGAAACCAGGAGACTGTGAGTTCTAGTTGTGCCTTAGACACAAAGCAAGCAGGCAAGGGCAACCCACTTCCGAAAATGCTGTCAAGAAAACTTCAGGGACTTGTCCAGGCAGTCACCAGGAGTCAATGATGACTTGAGGCGCGCACGCATACACACACATACGTTACGTGCTTGAATAATGGTGAACTTGGGATTATTAGCTCCATCTTCTTCTTCTTTGACATTTATACAAGGTGGAGTTTTAAAACATAAGCTTTTGTTATTATGTCTAAACCTGGGAGAACTGTGGTTCATATGTTTTATTTAGGAGGTTAGGTTAGTTAATTTAGAGTTATATGACTCTAAACTATTTGCCCAAGTGAAACTGTACTTAAATGACATGGGTTCTTCTCTCTTTATTTAAAGACTAAGAGCTGTAAGATGCCAGGAAAGCAATAAGATTTTTAAAGCAAAAAATATGTTCACAATACCAGAAAAAAAGTTGAGGCCAGGCTGATCATTATCCTGGTGTGCTGTATTTGCAAAGAGGGAAATGCTCATGGTCCTCTTACTGATAATAAGGCCAGACTGTTTGCTACCCTTATAAGGCAGCTGATATGAATGGAACAATGTTCCGCAAGACCAAGCTGCCCTCCCCCTTGCAGTAGTGTTCTTCCTAGAAGATAAAAAGTGTCATTGCCCATGACCCTTGATTCTCTGTCAATAGAAAGCAGCTTCCTCTTTGTAATAATGGAAAAATGAGATTAAAAGCTAGTCAAAACAACTGGTCTAAAGATTTTGGGGATTGGGGAGTACAACTACTTTAGTAGTTCCTTAATGCTCTGAGAGAGGAAATAAAAAGTACTATTCAAAATGCGAACAGATATTTTTCTTAGACATGCTCTGTCTAAATGCAAATTGGATACTTCGATGTTAAATAATGGGAAGAAATGTAATTCTCTTTACAGGAGGTCAGACAAATTAATCTGGGGCATTCTGGCCTTAAAATCAAAGTCTGAGTTGATAATTTAGTCAGTACATGATGAATTAATTTACCCATTTCCTGTTCATATCATTTCTACAATAGGTGTCAGAAAATTCAATTGCTTCCATCATCTTTAAAAAAAAACTTCAAAAATCTGAAACCCAAGTTTCTTAATGTAGACACTGTTAAGAAAAGAATTGTGAGGAAAGGAATTATGATTTGATTTATTCTTAAAAAGACATACTTTGAAATCCACTGGAATACTATTACTTATCTAACAATATTTGTGTAGTTGCGGTGGCATTTAAAAGTACTAAAGCTTTTATCTAGAGGTGTATATCCAAATCACTTAAGAGAGATATATGATCATTCCATTATGTATTACAACCAAGGTCCTTAAAGCCAGATCCTAGGATCTAGGATATTGGTTTAAGCATCTTGTTAGGCATGTACAGGTGAAACTCAAAAAATTAGAATATCGTGCAAATGTTCATTTATGTCAGTAAG